GCCCGTCCGTGAACGGAGTCTGTGCATCCGGACGGAGGCACTTCGGCGATCAACTCGCGCCACTATGACTCACCGCAACTATGATGGCAGAAGTGGTGGTCAGCCGGTGATGGAGATAGCATCGAGCATCCACGGTCGGGGCGTTTCCGGTGAGTCACACGGTGGCCTCAGGCAGGCGCCGAAGTCGGACAAGGCCGGAATCACCGGATGCGACCGGGAAGTCACCTGCCGACCGTTAGAGTCACATGGAGCTACTAACCGGAAGTAATCTAGCGTGGATCAGATAAGATCAGATCGTGACCTTCCCCTCACGGTGACACCACTTCCTTGCTGGTATCCCGTTATCCCTCTGCCATCCCTTATTTCTTTTTCCTTATCTCCTTATCCATCCCTTATCCCTTCATCGCAGAAGCAAATCCCCTACCTTTCATCTATAGGACAGCCATCCACAACACCACGATGATGGCCCGTCCACTCATCACGACCTTCTTCTCCGCACTCGTCCTCCTAACCCACCTCCTCCACGTCAGTGCCAGCCCTCTATCCGAACAAGCTCCTCTCACCGACACCGACACCACCACCTACGACACACAGTACAACCTCGACACCGACACCGACACCCTCACCACCAACACTGCCCCCCCATCCTGGTTCACCTCAACCCTCCTCGCCCGGCGCCTCCTCGCCCTCTCCCGCACCGGCACCGCCTCAACCATCTTCCCCTCCCCCCTCCCCCCCAACTCGCACACCCCGCCCTCCCTAGCCGGCCACTCCACAACCCAAACCGAATACCTCGCCGACTGCGACCCCCACCTGCCCGCCAACGACACCTCATCCGAATCCCCCAGGGGACTCGGCAACCCGACCTTCCTAGCCCTGCATGTAGCCACCACCTTCCGCAACACCGCCGCGGGGTCCAACATCTCCCTCTCCCTCGACTGGTGGGACCACGTCAACGACACGTCCCCGCTCTGGCCGGGCTTCCCCCTCAGCGAGGCGGGCTTACCCCGCGTCACGCTCTTCGGGTACGTCGAGCCGTTTGAGACGCCTGTGCCGGAGGCTGTGGAGGCCGCGCTGCGGAAGTGTTTCCTTGAGAAACATCCTGATGCGGAGGCGTGGTTGCCCGGGAAGGAGGGCGCCCCGCATAGTAGTTATTGGGCCAGGTTGAGGGTCGAGCAAGTTTATTGGATTGGGGGGTTTGGGGGGTTGCAGAGGATTGGGTGGTTGAATGGTAGTGAGTGGAGGGGTGTTACGGAGTGGGGGAGTGGTGGGGGTGGTGGCGGGTTTGGGGATGGGAGTGGGAGGGGGTGGGGGGATGTGAGGTTGCCTGGGGAGGTAGAGTGAAATTTTTCGGTGTATAGGGGGTGGTGGTGGTGGTGGCTATGTGAATTACGATGGATGATGAGGACGGTATGGAGATGATGAGATGAGATACGAGAAAGGAGTGAATATGACGATCGGTGATTATGAGCTACTATGAAGGATATGGGTAGTATGGATAACATCATTGATGGAATATGGATATAAGTTGATACGGGTTTCTCTTGATCCCACAAGTACTATAATCAGTGACCTGCATATCACCCAATGGAAGTTTTTATGATACTCCATCGCTCAACACATCTCGATACTAAGCACACCCTTGTTTAACTTCAACCAGAATAGACCATTCTCCAAAGCAACGAATGTCTTTTGGTATCAATCCACGTGGGTATTATACCACCACCATCACGATTTCTTTATCCATGTGTTCTCTGTCCCAACCACCCCCTCAGACCTACTGTGACACTGCTATCCATCCATAAACAGCCATTCTGTCGAGCAATCTATCCAAGAAGAGAGCTCAGCTCAAGCAATGTTTGGTGTTCAGCTATGGAATTGGCATAGACCACTGTGATTGTGCCCAGGTAATGTCCATCACCATCTAGGCAGCATATCCAGCATACCAATCCAGTTAGATAGATGGATTGGTACAAGCCATCCCCCATACCAACCCCAGACGATGATCTCGATCAGCACTTGTCGAGGGCAGGAGTATTCAGACCATCTCCCGAGCAAGGGATATGCATAAAGATCGCAGCAGTGATTATAATGGATGAAGCTTCATCCAGGATAGTTCAGCCAATGTCTGGAAAGGGGCGTTACCAGTATTACCCACACCATACTACCATATTGGGCAGGGTACGCAGTATACCTCCCGGTGATAGTGTTATTACCAGCTTACTGCCCAGAATCACCAGGAAGGGCCTGAGAAAGGAGCTCGAGGAGTGCCCTCAACCGATAGGAGTATGCACTACCGAGATGGGTGTCAAGTAGATAGGTCAGACATGGTTATCGTTGATAACGTTGTGAAAGGCGGAATGGGTCATTTCGTAGTAGATGGTATAGTTGCCGGTTCTTGAAAAGATTTATCATTCTTCAGGGTCATTTGTCTTCTATATGAGGCGAGGAGTGAAAGGCTGATTCTGAGCTCAAAGCTTGAAGTTCCAAGGTCCTTGTGACGCATGCTGGTTTTGACAAGTAGCCATCATATATTGGAAAGGGACTTGACTGGCAGTACTGCATTTCTGTCTGTAGGTATTACCCCAGTGAGGGATTTATATGTAGATAAACTCGACCCGACTTGGAAGAAGGGAAAAAGGAAAGTAAACCCAACCCCAGAAAGCGAACCAGGTGTCCTGTATATACGCAGTTTCAGGATCTCCTAACTGGTTGTTACCAGTATTTCCCAGTAAATCCACAAGCCAGAGAACGACCCGGGACAGAGTTGATAATCTCCTCAGTGTCTGTCTGGATGGGTTGTTCTAACTTGTCTCACTTTTATTGGGATTTAACCTTAGGTAAGAGAGAGTTGCGTGGTATGGAGGTTGAGAGGAAGCCATTGTAGACATGATTGTTCAAGTTGGTTGTTACTGGCACCGTTACTTGTACCTCCCAGTAGAAAAGCCAGAGTTCCATTAGGGAGTGAAGTCAAGGTTTGTCTCTCTTTTCCACCTTTGAGTTCCGGACGAAGTGGAATCCTGTTGGAAGGAAGCCAATGTTTGGCTTCTTCTAATATTCCAGAGCATATGACTCATGGAGCCAGCAGAGACTAGAAATGATGTTGTCCATTGTCTCGATGCGTCCATCGAACTGCCCTTGACTGGTGTGTCATGTTATCTAGACGGGATTGACGATTAGGAGACAGAACTTGATGGTCACGACAGCCAAGCATGGAAACACCATGCAGCTGGCTTCATGGATTGTCTCTGAGATTCGTTCGATATAGAATGATATAGTTCGTTTCAGCCAAGGCAGCCTGCATCGTCTGTAGCGTAGTAGGAATTAGGAACAACACCGGTACCGACACGGTTGCTTTGTATGTTTCTTCTAGCTGGCGGAATTTCATTAGTAGATTCAGCTGGCGTCTGCAGATTGCGTGACTAAATCTTTCCAAATCGCAGGTCGTTTCTGCATACCAGTTGGTTTGGCTAGTTCTTCGGATCACTTGGAAAATATGAACCGGCAATTGACGGAGTCAGGAAGACAGTTCCATAGTTCATGCCCAACCCGTCATGGCGTTGGTGTGACTGCGAGTAACGACCCATTTTCTGGCCTGTATGCATAGGATAAGGACCCCACTCACTAGCTTCGTAGGATAGTAGCCGCACAGTCCGAAACACTCGGAATCATCTTCCCGCTGAAATAACCAAGTTGGCAGCCTGGTCAGCGATGGAACCTGTTCGATCTGAGAATGTGGTAATGCCTGTGTTGCGCCCAAGTGTAAGATGTACCAAGTTGAGATTTGGTTCGAAATGATGGAAGAGAATAACGAAAGCATAAATCGTATGAACCGCTTTTCTTGATTGGTCTTTGTTGGTCTCAGTTGATTTCCGGACTGGAAACAAAGCAATTGTCACTTCTCCATTCTGCCAGAGACACGGACCAGCCAAGAGCTTCGCCCTCTGGCTTGCCGGTTTTGTTGGCTTTGACTGAGCTTTTTAGAGAGTAGTCGGAGCTATGGAGGCTTCAGGACTTCAACTGCGCCGACTTCCAGCTCGTCTCGAAGTAACTGGTCATTCTAGAGGAGGGTTATCAGTGACAGATTCTTCTTGCAGCTCTTCTCTCTTTTTTCTAGAAGCTCAGATATCCCTGAAAATTAGCTCTTGGAGACCGAATGTCGTGTTCTTTCGAAGTGCCATGATTTGATCCATGATTCTTTTCCCTCTTCACTATGAATGCTTTCTGTCTCACTGCTGGAGCTTTCAACCGTGGCAGACTGTTCATGTCCATTTTCAATTTCACCGCCGCCTTGGAAAGACCGCTTGCTTGCAGTAGTTGGCATGTTGATGTGAGAAGACTCAGAGATAAATGCGTGATTTCAAAAGAGACAAGAGAGGCTTTATATGGTCAAGACGACATCGACATAAGATGAGACCTGAGGTGGAATAAGTAGCGCGGTAGTCATCGTTCGACTCGCTATCTGGACATAGCACATCCCTGTCCCAACTGGTATACACGGCCTGCTTCATGCCCCTGTGAGCTAGTTGGAGAAAGAGAAGTACCGAAAGTGTGCCCATATGTCTGCACTAATAAGCGGAGATGGTACTGCGAATAGCGAGGCTTGTCACCCGGAGGACATGCAACAGCATTTCGCAGTGCACAGCAATGCCTCTATTTTGAGAAATTCAAGAGACCACATTCAGGATTCAGAGCTGAGGTGTAGATTGCCAGACATGCCTGGGGAAATTAAAAAAGGCGGAAGTCTGGATCGTCCCACTTTCATCGCTGGAGCATGCGTACCCTCGTACCCGCGGAGGAGCCCAGATCTCGTAGTGTTGGAGTATTTCGATCATGGCATATTGGTCGCTGGTAGGACCTAATAGAAGCAAAGCTTGCTACAGTAGACCCTCCGTACCTTGCTTTATATGAAGCAGCGCCTTTGCCTCTTTTCAGAGTCTTGACCGGTAAGATGTCATATTCGATATTGATTTGTTTCTGACGATTCCAGTTCGTTCTGATCAGGATTGCTCTTGCCATGTTCTATGAGATAAACGTGTCCTCGTTCCGACATCGACAGTGGCCGATGCATATCGTTGTTTGTATCCGGATGGAGTATTCAAAAACAAGGATGTGCCATTGCTTGAGACGCTGGGATTGGCACGCAAATCGTGATGCGGCTTCATTTCCTTGGATATTGCCTTGTCGCTTATGCCTTGGCCGACCACATCATAGGTGGATTGTGGCCTTTGATGGAGATGTTCGAAATTTGGAAATCCAATCAGTGCTATATAGTTACTCGTAGCAGGAACTCTGACTGCTTTGTGTTGTTGGATTGTTGTTGTGTTCTGGAGTGAACCGCCTTGGGAGTACGCAGCGTACCCACGTACCTACGCAGGCTTTTCGGTGTTAACACATTTCGAAGTAGCAGAGCATATCGGTACTCTATAGTCGAGTGTGGCAGTTAAGCAGACTCCTATATGTCTTTGGATTGCTTGTTCGTGTGGTGTGAAGTGCAGGCCGCATTTGGAGTGGAAGTCAGGAGCACGAAGCGTAGCCACATAGCCACGGGGCTCTTTCTCTGTAATGGCTGATTCCGAAGTAGCAGAGTTTATCATTTCTAGATAGATCGTAGCAGGAATTCTGACTTTCGCTTCGATGGATTGTTGTCCTGCTCTGGAGTGGAAGCCGCCCAGGAGCACGCAGCATGCCACGTATCCACGCGGGTCCCTGTAGGTAACTTGATGCCATGAATGTTTAAAGCCGAGTATCATGGTGATGTCTCCCATGCGAGGACACAAAGTTGGCTAAAGCTCTGTCTTACTTTGCCACTTTCCATTGACAGCCATCCAGCAGCTCCTGTAATCAGTGTTAGTATTCAGCAATACTATCCACATACTAAATCTCACCTAGAGGTGAAATATAGAGCTACTCACACTGGGATTGCGCGCGTCAATTTGCCGTCTGCCAGTAAGCGTCTTCTGGCCTTTATTATTAATAAGATCATCAGCATCTGCTTCCCCACCATCACAATCCTTAACATTGGGATCAGAGTCACCGGGGCCACCCGGGGCGCCGGTCGCAGCGGGATCATCAATTCCTGCTTCCACTCGATGGCCCTCCATTGTGCCTGTCCTCATGGGATAGCGCGATGAATGTCTGAGTACGCCATAGAGGTTGTGAGCTTCAGCATGGTATGGATTCCATACTGTCCGAGTTATGTTTCTGGCCATCTCCAGTGCCTCAGTCACCCGACTATTCGGTAAAGCACATCCATTCCCTCTGAGACACTCATATAGCTGGGACGCTGATCCCTGTGCAATGTCATTGTCGTCCGCCGCGAGCAGTCTATCTGGAGGCTGGTTGCCACTCGCTGGATGTTGGAACACCGCTTCCTGTTGGGTAAAGCCTGCACCCACTGAGGGCATAGGCATGGTGGTATAATCTTGAGGGGAACATATGACTTCAGTGGACTATAGCCGATACCTTTCCTTGTTGCAAGCGAATGTTGAAGCCGACGGAGAGTGTGCCTTTGAGTTTTGCATACCGACTAATGGCTTCACACTGCGATGGCCGATATGTGTGGTCTTGCTTCCACGAACGCTCTTCGGCTGTCTCGTGTCTCTGTATTCCATCGAACATCGGAAGCAGACACATGCCGGTTACTCGACATCGTCTATATATCGTTTGGGGTTGCTGTTCTCTTATGGAAAGTGCCGCGCGACCACTGTTTTGAAGGTCCACGATCCCTGTAATTGTCGAGTGTAATTGTTTCTCGATGCCATTTCACAGCGATAAGACACTCTATCAGCAGCCGAAGATACTCACTCATCCCAAGTCGTCAAGATGCCAACATTCTTGGCCCACTCTGCCCTCTCTCGTATCGCTCCCATTATGCTGTTTCCGCTGTTGTATACTGCAAAACAGAGAAATCGCGAATTCCAAGTAGTCCCTGTAGTTCCTCTTTCCAGTTTTAATGTGTAACTCTCTGCCAGAACATTAAAAGTTCAAATTAACCTCTCCAAGCATGAATTTAGGCTGGAAGTAAGCATGGTATGCCTCATGTAGTCCGCATTCGCCGCGACCGTGATGAGAATTCTCAGTAACAGCCGACGAGAATTTACAGACTCCAACAGGCATAAAAACATCAGGTCTCTTGCTGATTTCTTTTTTTTGTATAAGCCATTGGAATGATTTTGCACGTTCATGTCTAGATCCATTGGGCATACCGTATAGTCAATCCTCTATTATATACCGATGCCACACATCCACGTCCAAGCTGCAATTTCTTCTGTTCTGAGGACGAGCCTCGAGGGGAGAAAAGATGGCAGCTGCACAAAAATATCTCAGTAGTAAGAGCTGCCATGCAGATGCGTTCTGTTGGACTCCCCTGGACGTTTTCTTCCATCTCGAAGGTCAAGTCTCGGCAAGTGAGGGTATCTTATTGCGCCAAGCACCCACAGTAGGCCATTGGAACGACATGGTTACCAAGATCGATGGATATACCTCTTGCTTCCACATCTATGTATTCATGAGGCGAATGCATGATATCTGTGATAACCGTTTGGGTTGAAGTACCTGCCATCATCTTGTTTGCTCTATGATGATCTTGACATTGTTCGGCGGTCAATCTTTCTTTCTCCTCGATGTGATTTGGCGCGTCGGAAGTGTTTTCCATATCAGAAGTAATGGTGCCCGCCCTAAGACTTGAGAATTTCCACACTGTATACGAGGCTCATCTTCCTCTACTACAGTCATGAAGTGTCTGTGCTCTGGATCAGCCAGCAAGGCCGGAAGGAGATGGTTCTTTTTCTGGGAGTAACATGCAATGAGAATGTCAGAAAGCTTGAACAATCCCCAGCACAAGTGGAACGCCAGAACCGTGCTCGCAGTAATCTGACCAGTTCAGTGTATCACAACTGTACTTCTTCCACCAATGGAAAATGCAAAGCCAGAACGCCCCAATCCTCGGCGTAGCAGATCTGAAAGGATGATGTTTGTACATGCAAAGAGATCTAGGCCTAGCAAAGCGCTGGCCATGGAAGAAGACAGAAGACATAGTGAAGATGCAATAATGTCAACCAGGGATGACGAGACATGGCTGGTTCCAGAGACTCTGATGCTTCGCTCGACAAGATCTCCATATATTTCTTCGTCAATGAGATGAGAAAAGAGACTTGCTTGTTTCTCAATCCCACCTCATCTTTGACCTCAGTCCTTCCAGTATGGCCCAGATTGGACCGGTTGACTGGACTCAAGTGGTGTCTAGAGGAGCTGGCAAGATTGAATAGTAAAACAGTGATTCAGGTTCATCATTCCGAGGCTGTGGGTAAATATAGAAAGGAACAGTGGCCGACCATCAGTCCGATCGCTCGTCGAGATCACTCTGCAATATGAGCGAATGTGTACCCCAGACGTAGCTTTTCCCTCAGCCTTATAACAAGCCATATGAACCCAGGCTCTGGCATGGAGGCGAAGGATGGCCAGCCACAGTCATGTCCAAGGCCCAGTACGGGCCAGGCCAAAGTCGTTGGGGCCTCCTTTCTAGGTGTAATTCCAGAACCTCATGACAATGTGGCGCAGAATGACCCTTAAAGACATGTTTTTGGCATGGCAGTCGCTCGTACTCACAAGCAATGTGATCGGAGACTGCTTTTGAGAACGACGGAAATTGCCACAAGCCGGTTATTACCGTGCACATTAGCCCAATAAATCGTCAATTTCCGGATTCCGCCTCTTAAATGAACGACTGGCAGCAGGGGCCAAAGAGCCATGTGCTCTCGAGTCGATTGTAGTGCATTTCTGTCTTCTCATCGTTCCAATCAAGGTTCTGAGCTCGACATGATAGAACTTGTAAGCCCGATGTATGCTGACCACAGCAATGCCTTCTATAGTATCTCCGATTTCGATGGACCAAGCAACAAATATAATTTTAGAAGCCTGCTGAAGAGAATGTTAGCTTCATAAACAAACAGGGCATGTCATACAAAATCTTACCTTTGTCCTGCATCCTCTTTCGTACGATGACAGGCATCATCACCCAGCAAAGACGGCATGTTTCCAGCATCATTTGGTTTGTTAACCCAACTATCAAGCTTTCATGCTGAGTGTTCTGAAGAGACATCGACATGTCCTGTGCAAAAGATCATTCCCTTTATTCGGAACGGTGACCACGCTGCCGAGCAGTGACCACACCGATGACTTGTAGTACCCAAACCCCAGCAGTATATGTTCAGTATGGGACTTCTGCAACCATGGGATCCAAAAGCAATTCTTTCTCGCAGACACTGCGTCTTGATTGGAGTCGGATCCCTCCTTATACTCGGGCCAGACAGCCTATTGTCTGCTATCTTCCCTCAAAGCCCGTCCACTGAGCTGTTAAGTCTTTCTAGATGTATCCTTTTCTATAATTTGTGAGCTGCTTCACCAATGCGCCAGCCACAAAACCATAGGGAACCGCGTCCCAAATATATCAGATCTTTTTCATCCCAGTATATTGCATCGCGCAAGCCCCACAGAAGCGACTGTAGGATGCCAGGATATCAGCCTCATATACCAAGACATAAAATAATAACCAACTGTCCAGACGCTGTTTCAATGCTCCATGCTTCATACAACGTGTCCTGTGAAGCAGCTTCTGCCACACCGTTATAAGAGCATCGTAGAGAAGAAATTGCTCTTTTGGGTCATTCAGTCCGAGGATCAGATGGAAGTTCCAATCATCAGACCTGGAGATTATCTTTGTATATTTCCACTGGCCCTTTCGTCTTGCACTGCTCAGGCACAGCGATAGATTACTTAGCAACCGTTCTTCGTACAACCTGTCCACAAAACTCAGAGGAATTGCCTAAGCGATGCTGAACGCCCAGACTGACGAAAGGTTTCTTCGTGTGTAAGTACCACGAAGAGAAGGATGAAGACGTCCTTGCAGGCTCCTGTGTACTGGATGTAGTAGACAAGTGTTATGAAGAAGAATGTGTAATTGGGAATGACAAGGTTTATTCATTCCAGTCTTATATATCACTGTCAACAGTGTCGAAGCCAATTGCTTGAGAAGGTTCTGTGCCGAGTACGCCAGAGCCCGAAGACAGTATTCAGCTGCGAGGCAGCCGAGCAGTGTGTGGTGTCTCTGACGAAGTTGTTATAGATAGATGAATGTCAGGATGGATGGGATTCCTGATTGAGTATAAGATGAGGTGTATAGTATATAAGAACGAATATTGTAGGTGTATATAGGAAGCTGGGGGCCTGGATGATGCTCTGGGGAGGATCAGAAAGGAGGAGAAGAGGAGGAGAGAGAAGAGGCTTTTTATCCCCTATTTGAAAGGCAGTGATAGTGAGGATGAAGTGTGAAGTGTCAACGTGAAGTACGTGCTGCTTTTGTGAAGTTCGTGTTGATCAGGCAGCGGGATTCACATCCTGATGATACCATATTCATTGCAATCGCTGACTCGTCACTGCTATACTGCTGACTCGTCACTATCATAGCGCCGTGGCGACCAGTAAGCCCTTCACTTTCGTATCAATCCCGTACGGACCGATTCTATCAATCCGAACCCAACTCAAGACTCTCCTAACCAGTGAAGTGCCGCTGCATGAACAGAATCACAAATTAAACCAGTACATTCAACAACATACACAAAGAACTAAACCACCACCATCACTAACCCTAAGACACACGAAAAAAGCACTCCGGGTATATCCATCCATCCATTCATCAATCACCACCACCGTCACCCCCTACCAACCAACATCCATTAATCAACCCCAAACCAACCCATGAATATTACCAATTACCTCCTCACCCCAGCCGCACCCCCACTCGCACCCGCCCCAACACCCCCATGATGCGCATCATGCACCACACAAAGCAAAAACTTCCTATCCGGCACGACGACAATCTCATGCCTCTTTGTCCTCAACCTCAACAACTTGACCTCATCATCGCCCTCTTCCTTCTCCCCAGCACCAGAACTAGAACCAGAACCAGAACCAGAACCAGAACCAGAACCAGAACCAGAACCACTCCCTCCTTCACCAGAAACCCCACCATCCACCTGTCTAACAACCCCATCCCCATCCCCATCATCCTCCGCCCCAGACAACGCAAGACTAAGTTCCGACGCACTAGCCACAAACGCAAAGATATGCGCCGCTAGAGCCTCGCCCTGCGACGGCTGATACGGTTGCGTTGTCCCTCCTTCTTTAGACTGTTGTTGTTGTTGTTGTGGCTGTTTCGTAGTCGGGGGTTGGGTAGCGTCCGTCTCAGCGGGCGCGGGCTCAGTCCCAGCTTCAGTTTCAGTCTGCGGCTCGGTCTCGGTCTCGGTTCCGTCTACTGGTGCGGAGATGGTCTCGGTGCGCGGTGATTGCTGCGCCGCAGCTGCAGCTGCACTTGTGGGAGAAGGAGATGGCGGTTTCGCATACAGCCCGGTAC